TAAGGGTTCACTTGGGACCCTTAAACAAGGGGAGATAATCAGGAAAACAAAACCAAAAGTACTGGTTGCTAAAAAATCTTCTTCTCCAGAACCACCAGGCAGATTTTCACCAAACTTACAAACAAGGATCAGAATATGTTGAAGATTAAAAATTGTTCAAGGCATGACCCTGGGGCAAAGGGCGTGTGGTCTCAAGGTCACTTCAAAGTTGACCTAAATTTACAATTGATAAAAACATTTATATTTTGCTTACTATAAGGACTAGGATCATCAAATCTTGTAAGTTGATGCATCTTAAGACTTCATATCATGTTAAATTAAAAGTAGGTCACAGTGACCTACTTTTTTAATTTTGCAGGCATTTGTTTTCAAAATGATTTGAAGGCATATTTTGGACACTTTAAGGCCTATGACCATCAAACTTTCTTAGTTGATGCATCTTGGGTCCTTGAACAACATCAACTTAAAAGTAGGTCACCTTGACCTACTTTTTGAACTTTATGACTTATCCTTTTTAAAACATTTAATCCCATTATTGAAGACACTGACTCACTGAGAGGGTTAGAATCATCAAATCTTGTAAATTGCTGCATCTTGGGACCTTAAAACATATTTATGAAAAAGTAGGTCACTGTGACCTACTTTTTGAATTTTGCAGGCATATGTTTTCATATTGTTTAAAAGGCATATTTTGATTACCTTCAGACCTACGATCATCAAACTTGGTCAGCAGATGCATCTTGGGACTTCGAAAAATGTTGACTAAAATGTAGGTCACGGTGACCTACTTTTGACATTTTATGGCTTTATTTAAGTATCTTCGGTATTTATTGGCTAAGAATCATCAAACTTTGTGAGTTGATGCATCTTGGGTTTTCGGAGAGTGACGACCAAAAAGTAGGTCACGGTGACCTACTTTTGACATTTAATAGCTTTATTTAAGTATCTTAGGTATTAATAAGCTTAGAATCATCAAACTTTGTGAGATGATGCATCTTGGGTTTTCAGAGAATGTCAACCAAAAAGTAGGTCATGGTGACCTACTTTTGACATTTTATAGCTTTATTTAAGTATCTTAGGTATTTATAAGCTTAGAATCATCAAACTTTGTGGGTTGATGCATCTTGGGTTTTCGGAGAGTGACGACTAAAAAGTAGGTCACGGTGACCTACTTTTGACATTTTATGGCTTTATTTAAGGATCTCTGGTACTTATTGGCTTAGAATCATCAAACTTTGTTAGTTGATGCATCTTGGGTTTTCAGAGAATGTCAACCAAAAAGTAGGTCATGGTGACCTACTTTTGAATATCTCGGATACATATTGGCTGAGAATCATCAAACTTTGTCAGTTGATTAGCCGGGCTTATTGCTCAAAGAGCAATTGCCGGCTTATGTGATCCTGTTCAAGGCAGGATGTTGACCCCATAGTCGCCATTTTAAAGTTACGTGCAAAAATATAGTTCTTACTCTCAACCGCTTTTGAGATAATACAAACGCTAAATAAAGCAACAAAAATAAAACGAAGTTTTATCTATATAAAATAAACATTAGAAGTAATGACTTTGAAAACTTCATAAATCAAAGAACATAGTTCATTAGCGTGAGGATTTTTGATAATCAGTGTTACCGTAGTTCTCTACACATACGAGGTAAAGTAGGAGAGGGAACCAGACTGGCCTGTTTGTTTACATTCAGCTGCGGTACCAGATAAATTCTGATTCTGACAAAATCGGACCGTGGTATTAGGATTGAAAAACTCATTTTCAGTGTCTTATCATTTATATTGATAGTTTTAAAATAATTTTTTCATCAGAATATAAACGTGATTCATGTAAGAAATCCATTCTACTCTGTAAATAAGCCCGGCTCTCTGTACTTCTGAGTACTTTGATATATTTTGGGCTTTCGAAAATCACCAACTAAAAATTAGGTCACAGTGACCTACTTTTAACATTTTATGGTTATAATTAAGTATCTCCACTACTTATTGGCTTGGAATAATCAAACTTTGTCAGTTGATGCATTTTGGTTTTTCCAAGAATGTAGATGAAAAAGTAGGTCAAGGTGACTTACTTTTGAATATCTCACATACTTATTGGCTTAGAATCTTCAATCTTTGTCTATTAATGCATCTTGAGTCCTCAGAAAACTTCAATCTTAAAGTAGGTCATTGTGACCTACTTATTTTTTTTTTATAGCTTTATTAAATTATCTTCAGTTATAATTGGCTAAGAATCATCAAACTTTGTCAGTTGATGCAACTTGGCTCTTAGAATACTTAGGGTTAGAGGCTTCAAATAGAAGTGATAGGTTGTACAATTTATCAGAAGAGTGATTCAAGGCCCTTGGGCCTCTTGTAATTTTTTTTTTTATCACAACAAAGAATCATATGATGACTAGGTATCTATGACTAGATGCAGAAACAGACATCCTTCAACTTTGGTTCTCAAGCGGGTTATAAAGAAGCATAGGTCAGGGTGTCACCCAGTATAACCAAAAGGTCAACCCCAATACAAGAGGTCTTTTCTGAATACAGAAATATCAAATAACCTAGATAGCACTAAACTAGTGAGGACAGTAAACTTTTAGTTACAGTAGGAATCCCTGTGAGGGATTTGATGAACCATCAGCCAAGACATTGAGGAAGAACAAATGCTGCAAGAGAATAAACACATGGATAGAATTTGACTGATGTTTTTCATACTCATCTTTAGGCCATTATATAATATTTACATTTGCTGATGTCTTTCCTTATATAACAATGCTAATAAAATTGAAATTCAATGTTCAATGACATGCAGTTGGTCACATGATCAGACTTTCTTGCGAATGGAAAGCAAACTGCACGAGCAATTTGGAAAGTTCTGAATTGTTGATGGATTTTCTCTATTATTTCCTGATCATGACAAGGAGCACACAGCGGGTGTGACCAATCGGCAGGGGGATGTTCACTCCTCAATGGCACCTGATCCCACCTCTGATGTTTTTGGAGGTCCGTGTTTGATCTTTACCAATTTTGTATTGTTTTATGGACTTTTGAGCTTGAATTTTACTGTCAGTGTTCATTATCTCAATATATTACCTGCACTTTATAAGTGGAGCGACTCAGAATCAGATGATGGAGGGCAAGAGAAAATCAGTAGCAACCCCAGTGCATCAGGAAGATGAACGCCTTGGATGAAATTCAGACAAACTTAACTGGCAGCATGATTTTGATATTAAGCTTCGATGATTTATGTATTCCTTGAATGATTTATCTAATTTCTGAATACATGTAGTGGTATTTCAACCTAATGACTGATACTTTAAACATGTCTAAGTTAAAATTGATTTTATTTTCTGACATGTTCAAGTTTACCGGTATGTTGTTTATGCCTCATAAATTTGTAAATGGAATATGCAGTTGGATTTTTTTTTAAAGGGAATACTTTTAGATAAGAAAGATTTTATTTGGCATTGATACTTTAAAAAATGCACTTATTCCATTAGTGCCTGGGGGTGCTTTATAGGACAAATATGGTAATGCACTCATCACCTTCAATTGAGAAATCTCAATTGACACTGTAAGCTAAATGTTCTTCAGTGCTTGTTTTTAAAAATTGAGAAAGACAAGGCCAATTAGGCTAGGGTTCAACTACTGATGTATTTGCTGCTCATTGTTACATCATGAATACATGTACCACCTAATCCAGCAACTGTGTCAGTTTTGGTCTCCAAGATTAATGCTTAAGGATGTAAGATATTTGTAACAAGATAATTATGATGACAAAGTTTTTTTGCTGCAACAGACAACTGTGGATTTTAACAGTGACAAATATAAATCATTCTCATTTCCATGGTAATCTTCAGTTCTTAAAAAAACATAGCTAAGAAATTGTCACACTGTAGATCAATAGCATTGTTAGAAAGTTTGGAGATACGTTATAACAATTTAAGAGATCATGTTTTGCTTTTGTCAGCATTTAAGTTTTTTTAAGCAGTAACTTTTAGCAGATTTCTCTTAATCCTACCCAACTTTTTGGGGCATGAAAAATATAAGGATAGATACTGACTCAGACCTATATTTTAAAGTTGCCTAAGCTGTTAAAAGCTGCCTGAAAAAGCATGCCTATAGAGACACATCTACTGCAGTCTTCAATACAGAGGTCTGAAGAGGAAATGGCCCTCTTATATGAGAGTTATTTATGCCAACAATTTTGTGTTTTGCACAGAGCTTTTTCTCTGAAAAATGTAATAGTATGTACAGTTTGAAGATTTTATTAGAGAATGCAATGTCACTAAAATGTGTTAACTGAAGCTCTGTTCATTGTAATAGAGTTGTTTTGAGTATTTTAGGGTGAATGCCATTTCAACATTATGTTATAGCCATACTTCTTCACAACATGCACTCAAAGTTCCAATGGATACATTACATCTTGTTTTATCAACAGTTGCACTTTGACAGCACCCCTAGATAAAGTCCAGGACTGCCTTTAATTGCCTTGATGGTCTTCTCATGTTTTGAATTCATTCACTCGTTTATGCTGTGTGTCACTCAGTATAAAACTGATGACATTGAATATGTACTTGGATTTCAAAAGGAATTTGCAAGTTCTTGCACTCTTAGAAAGTGCATCGTATTCTCTTTGAAAATGCAGCTCTTGTGGGTATAATATAATGTCTCACTATTGATTAACAACAAAATGGGCATACAATGAAATGCCTTTAACAGCTATAACTCTCGACAATCTTTCTGGAATGATAGTTTGATCAATAAAGTCATCTGTCACATTCAATGTATTCATTTATTTAAATGTGCACTTCAGTTTCTCAAATGAAGCACTATGGACAATGTCGGATAATGTGGGTAGAATTCACTTTCATATAATGCAAGAATCTACTCTAAGAGCATTAACTCTTAGGAAATTTATAAGGAGATGATAAATCCAAAAAGAGAATGTGTCAGAGTTATCTTTCTTGTAATATTGGATTTCCACTTATCAGTGAAAGGTTGTCAAACCTTGCATTTGTTGTATCCATGGCAGTATGACTTGTTCCGCCCAAACTTTTTCACATTTTCTGTTGAACTGTTTCCACATGCATTCTGGGATAACCACTGGAGGAAGCCGTGTTAACTCGGGATCAGGGTGTAGTATTTGGTAAATATCCTTCCAGTATATAGGCATGGTACTGAAAAAAGATGATTATTTTAAAGAGGCGAAAAAAAATTATACTCCTGTAATGCAAAATGAATAGTCAAACAAAAAATAAAATAAATATGACAATTCAATTATTTTAAATAGATTTGTGAGTTCAAAGTTAATTCTATGTTGTAAATATTTAAATTGTCACTCGTGTGTGTGAAGTATTAATTGTTTCAGAGAAATAATTTCAGCCAGCCATATACATGTATCTAAATCAGTTTCTTAAGAGTGGGTCACGTTACTCTGTCTTTTGATTACTGGCATTGTTTTTCAGATGATGGAAAAAAAAATTCTGAACATGTGGTTAATTTTTGCAGGCATATTGAAAATATTTTAATACATTTTAACCTGATGGAGCTGAGAAAAAACATCTTATACTGTACTTTTTTCCACGGGGTCATAATTCCATGGAAAAAACATCTTATATGCCTTATATTTATATTAAGTAGGACAAATTCGGAAAATATATCGTAAATTAATACCACGCGGAAAATAGTACTTCTACAGTATCTGAGGATTCGGTATATCAAGGGTAAAATACTTAAAGAATATGATTCACTGGTTTGGACATCCATATCACTTCAACATAAAGACCTGTGGTTTGCGATGATGACTTTCTTATGATCATAATATTAGTCGACATTATTTACAAAAGATCAATTATTGATGTCTGATCATGTCATATACCTCAAAGCATATCTTAGAACATAGGTAAATACAATGTATCTAAATTGACAACAGATTCTGGCAAAAATAAAATACCTTTAAAACAAGCATATGTTAATGATATTTTTGCAATTCTTGACATCATAATGCATTGACTGTTGAAAAAATTATGTCTTTCTAAATAAATAAGTCAGTCATAAAACGGTCAAAGTGAAATTGATACATCACATTTTTTCCCCCAGAAAATCATGGTGAAAATTCCTCAATTCACAATTAAAATGCACCTGATACCAGCAAGCATACTTTGCTGGGCAAAACTTGACCAAGATGGCAATTAACTTTGCAAATCTGTACACGAATAGTCATCAATTCCATTGAGAGTTATCTCTCTTACCAGAGGGGTCTGTAAACCTTAAAAGATCTCGTATAATAAAGAGGCCCTTCCCTGTTTCAAAGCTGTTAGGTTTAATGGCATAGAAGCAGTAGACTTCCTTAATCAATATTAACAACAGTTTGCATTTAATTGTGTAAACACAGTTGAATTTTTTTTTACATGAAGTATTATTGACCCATTGACTGCAGCTAGAGATAATGGCAAAGAGACACAATAGGACTCTGAAAAAGAGGAGTATATTGATGAAATAATAAATCAACAAAATTAATACTTATGTTTCTATCTGAAATTTAATACTTGACATTTAATATCATTTGGTTTAAAAAAGTGTATATTCAACGTACAAACACACGAACACTGGATGGATACCATTAGATCTTTGTATCACATTTTTCTTTTTGAGAGTTAAAGGCCCTTTCACAATTGGCGCACGAGCAGAAGCGACAAAATATTCGTACGATCAAATAACTTTGGTTAGGATCGTAAACTGCTGCCAAAAAATCGCATATGAAAAAAGTGTTCGTATGAAATTTGCACGATCCAAAGCGACTGTTGTGCATTAAACCTTGTGATATATCTTGCGTCAATATGCGACTGTTGTAGAATGAAAGCGAGTGTTGTAAGATAATGCGATAGGATTGCACAACTGATCAGGTAATTGGACGATTGAATGTGCGACAAAACGATTGGACGTGCGGTGCTCGTGCGCTCATGCATTCCATAGTACGAATGTTCGTGCAAGTCAGAGGGCTGGGTATTTATACCACCCGTTTCCGACGCTCTTCAGTTGACATAGTTAAGATGCTTATAATTATACACTGTATATATACCTGTTGCAAAGCATGGCAATTGAAGGTGATAAATTAAACAATGATAGTAAAACGTTGCAAGATTACATGAGACATGTTGAGCAACAGTCTCATGGTCGCAAAACACACGCAAAGACACCTGCGATTTATCTTACAATCTTAAAAAATCGTGCATCACTCTTACGAGTACATAAAACGTTGTAAGACCTTCGTACTAATTTTCGTGCGTTGAATTGCGATAATTTTGATCGCATTTGGTCGTGTCTGAATAGTGTGCATGTTGACTATTTTAAGGAGACTTGATGCGACCACTAAAACACATGCAATGAATGCGAGACATCATGCAACGCATGCGATAGCTCGTGCGAAGCTAAAATTTTCCGATCGCAAAGTGTTGTAAAGTGCTCGTGCGCCAATTGTGAAAGGGTCTTAAGGTGAACAATGAAAACATGCACAGATGTATGTGTTTTGTCCTCCATTTTCATTGAGTGGAGGATATTAATTTTGTTCTGTCTGTCTGTTCATTTGTCTGTATTTCTGTCTGTCAGTAAATTTATTTCCATTGCCACGTGATATCTCGAGAAGCCTTTGAGATTTTGCAATGATATTTTAACACAGCAACTAAGGAAGATGCCTTTCAATTTTGAGGTCAAAAAGTCAAAGGTCAAGTCATAAATTCTGTCTGTTTTAACTTTTTTGTGTGCTCTTTTGTGAAAAAGTCGGACAATGTTCAAATCCTGCAGGATTTCTGGGACAAATGTAAAATAAACATGTAAACAATATGTTGAATGTCGATGAACAAATCCTTTCAAAAATGCAAAAAGAAACATTTTATTGTTGCAGACTTTATATGCATCAAAAGTAGAAATGACAACAACATCAATTTATATATTGTTGATCGTATATATACCTATTTATCTTATAATACATGTATATCTAAATACATTGCACAGTAATGCCTCAAAAATGTAGAATTTTTTATTTAGCCTATTTTACTTTGGCTAACACAATTCATTAAGATAATTTCAGGAATGTGTCATTCATCTGTATATAACCATTTAAAGAGACACCATGACACACAAAGGGGAAAATTGGCAAACGTAGAATTTTTGCATGACCTGTGTGAATTTTGTTTAATTCCTGAATGTATTAGGTTTCAGAAAATTAAAGGTTTTTGATTGATTGTTGATTGATTGTATGTTGTTTTACGTCCAATTCAAGAATTTTTCACTCATGTAGAGACGTCATGATATACCAGTGAAGGGCTTCAAATTTTGACCTTTACTCGGCACTCAGGGCCATTGAGCAGTGAGGGTTCTTTATCTTGCCAATGCCTGCCGTGACATGGGACCTCAGTTTTCAAGGTCTCTTCTGAAGGACCAGCAACTTTCATCTCAAGTGCTGAGGGCATGGCGAAGGAACAGTTGCTAACCATTATTTATGTAGGTCAGTCACGGCCGAGATTCAAACTCACGACTTCCCGATCATGGAGCAAGCACTCTGCCGACTACCATGAACAGTCTACAGGTTTCAGAATTCTAAAGAAGTCTATTTTAAATACAGGTTTCAGAACCTAAAAAGTCTATTTTTATGGAGAAAAATGTAAGTAAAAATCATTTCATTATATATATATATATATAACAAAAATATTGTTTTACTTCTTCCTCCCTACTGTGCCTATTCTTCTTGCTGTACAGTGCAGGTTAGTTGTCATATCTTCACTATATACTCATAATTTTCATAAATCTTTCACTGTATGATACAGCTATCTTAAAAGAAACACATGATTTTGACACGTTATGAAACTTGAAATGAAACACAGAGACCAGTCAGACTGTGTGTAGTAAGATTAGGAATTACAGGTCAGGATTTCATTTGAACAATGTTTACACTTTTATGTCTTTTCCTAGAAATTTTGAAATACATGTACTGTAAACCAGTTTTTATTCAAGTGCAATAAATACCAGAAAGTTTTACAACCTTCTTCAATTACCCTTGCGAATTTTAATCGCTGCAAAGCGTATATTTTACTGGGTGTTTGTAGAAAATGTTTAACTTAATAGGTTGAATGTTGAGGATTGATTTCATTCTACCAAATTGCAAATAAAAGATGATACAAATAATAATTAGTTTACAGTATACAGTGAGGAAAAGCCAATTGCTACAATATATTTTATCTGTCTGATTAGTAAGTACAAAGAAATGACTTTACCTTCACTTTTCGTATCAGCCCTGTATCCAATGTCAAAGTCTTAGAAAATTAAGGTTTACACTAAATTTGAAAATTTAAGACAGCACAGCTATAAAATAAGTTCAGTAATTCACTGGAGGTTGCATCAAGACTTAATTTATTTTTGCTAATCAATTTATCAAACAAAGCAGTTATATTGATGTTCAGCAGGGAGGAAGAGACACTACGTGAGCTTTTGATGCCTTTTTATTAAGTAGGACAAATGTTATAGTTATACAAGGAGTTTCACAATTTTGTCACTGAAAGGTTTTTTTCATTATGTAGGCCAAATGTTACAGTAAACTGTCAGAATTCTGCCACTGAAACCAGAATAAAGTGACTTTTAAGAAAGGTGTTAAATAGAAACATTGATCCTGATGAAAAAGTTGATGAAAAATGCAAATTTTTGGGAGAAGTAACAGTTTTAGGTCATAATTCTCAAAATTAAAATAAAGGCAGTTATAAATATAGTGATCTGCTCATCCTAGAAAATTCTATAAGAAATACAGTCATGCATGCATAGATTTCTATCAGACATATATTACTACTATAGTACATAAAGTATAGAATGTACTTTCTTTGAATAACATGTTGAAAAAAAAACTTTCATGAAAATATGATGTACCGTATAATCCCTATTAACCACCCCTACCCCTATAAGCACCCCCTTAGGTCTTTTTCAATTGTCAGGAAATAAGGGCCCCCTGTAAGTGATTAAAATCAACAAGAATCGTATAAAAAAATGAAGAAAATGAAAACGCAATTTGTCTAATCATCCAATATCTCAGTGGACAATGAACAATTTAGCATAATTTGGGTGGATTATCTTCACTTTAAGTAAAGTTAGACATTATCTTAGTTGTTTCTTGTATTAATTTTTATTTTCA